TCAGCGCTGTTGAATCAATTAATGATTCTGCCACAACTCCTTTCAACTTGTTACGTGGAGCTACAAATAACGTAGCGAATGTTTTTTAAAATTTTTATTCTTTCCTTAATTTTTTATTACTTAACCGAAATTTTCTTGTCATGATTCTCAAAGATACTTTTTATTAAGAAAATTTTAAGCGTATATTGCATTACAACAACAATAAACGTTTTCGTATAAGTTATTACTTTTAATTTCAACATAAATCGTATAATACAACGTTATACTACGCTAAAACCTACGGGTTCGAAACCCACCGTTAGTAATGAAATTATTTATTACGATTTAAGTTCTGAATTACCACGTTTTTCACGATAACGACAAAACATCGTTAGCATCATGAACCTGCATGTTTGAGGAATAAAATATTTGGAGGACATTTAAAAAAAAATTAAAGCCTATATACTTCGCAATGCTAGGCACAGGCCTCATCTCATTTATGAGAGTGTTTTGGGGCAAGGAAATATCTGCCACGCTGCCCCAATGCGTGCTGGGGAATTTCACATGCCCCCGAAATATTTTTTTATTTATTTATCAGATATGCAAGTTTCCTCGTAATGTTTTCTTCATTGCCTAGCATATGGTAAATCAGTACTTAAAATTGCAATTATCAATTTCACAGGTGCAGGTGGCGATCGAACCTGAGTTACTCGCGTACTGTGAAATTTACAGCAAGTGTTTTCCCCTCAGCTACAACGGCTCTTGAAAACATGTGAATTAATCCATCAATGTTGTTGAATGGCAAATCCGGCGTATTGCACCGTAACCTCTACGGAATGAGGAAATGCCCAACTGTGGGACGTATTTAGGCAAAAACCTTACGTGTTTAATAAATATACTAGTAACACGCTAAAAGTAAACGCGTAGGCCAATTTAAAGTAACTGTCTCAGAAGGAAGGTAATATAAACAAAATGAATCTTAAAACAAAAAGTTATTAATGCACTTGACTTAACTTACTAGCTATACATATTTATGATTTTTCGAGGTGTAGCTCCATACTAAAATATGTAGGTTTAATTTGTGAAGTTTTTTTTAATAAGAGTTTTAGAAATTAGGAAGTTATTAAACTGATCTATAAATAAAAATACATGGTTATGAGGACCCTCACGCCTGTCACACAGAAGGGTAGAAAGAGTCTACGGACTTTTATTTGACACGATCTTGATACGCCTCTCGCGCTTGTTTCATATTATATGCTTGTTAGCTTAGGGTACTCTTAATTTGGCCCATTTATTTATTTAATAAAAAACAAGTGGTAATTAAAAATTTTGTTCAACTGACTTCAATATACATAATATGAGAACATTATCAATATAATCGAATTTAATTAAATACGCATTATTAAGGATAACTAAAAAACTACTAAATTTTCATCAAATATATATGGACTCATACAGGAAACACTAGCTTTCAAATAAAAAATGTCATTAAAAGCAGGTAGGAGGAACAGGCCCGCAAGCAGTCGGAACAGGCCCGCCAGCAGGCGCAACAGGCACGCCGATTGGAAGAGCAGCTGCGGGGCGGACAAGAGGAACAGGCCCGTAGGTTGGAAGAGCAGAGCAGTCGGGAAGAAGATAAAGGAGGTGAAGGATAGGATTGCTCAACATGACAACCGCAAGCTGAAACCCGAATCGACCAAGTGAACAATCGGGTAACAACGTGATGGCTGACGTGAAGAAAACACTGGACGACCTCAAACTGGGAGATGGAATTACAGCTCTCGTAGTAGCTACACACCTTCACTACGTGGATTCAAAGTGCCGCCGTTCGACGGGACTTCTTCCTGGTCAGCCTAAAAAATTCAGTTCAAGGCTGCCATGGAGGCGAACGGCTGGAATAAAAGTCAGGCCGTGACTGCACTCACTCTAGGTCTGCGCGACCAAGCCTTAACTGTGTTGGAAGCTCTCGGTAAGAAAGTAACTTACGAGCAGCTCCTTCAGGCATTGGAGGTAAGATATGGCGACACTCACCTAGAACACGTCTTTCGTGCGCAGCTTAAAGATCGCGTGCAACGCAGCAATGAAAACCTGCAGCATTTGGCCCTTGAGGTAAAGTGAAGTGAACAAAGGAGCCGGAGCCCGACAAGAACCTGCAAAAAGGCAACACAGATGCCGATGATTGCAAGAAAAGTACTAGGGAACAGGGTAAGGAAGTGTTATCTGTGAGGATTCTCAGGACAGACCACCTCAGCAACGAATGGAAGGACAGCCTACGACATGCACAGCAGGAAGATTCGGACATCAAGCCGATTTTGGATTGGATGAAGGCCTGTGCCCTCAAGCCCAAGTGAAGAGACGTCTCAGCGATGAGTTTAACCCTGAAAAGCTATTGGGCCCAATGAGACAGCTTGCTGATTGAGGATAGAGTCCTGGGCCGTAAATGGGAAATTGGTCGAGGAGACAGCTGTTGTTTTAAATGGTTTTCCCTAAAGCTCAAGTACCGAAGGTTCTACAGCTGTACCATAATGATTTTTCGGGAGGCCATCTGGGAGTTAAACGAACTCTACTGGAGATCCAAGAACGGTTTTGCTGGGTCCACTGTCGAGACGATGTCGAGGACTGGTGTCGCAAAAAGGGACCTCAGACTCGTAGTAGAGGTGTATTGAAGTTGTACAATATTGAGAGAGTGCACCATGGGAGAGAATGTCCATTGACGTGGCGGGGTCGGTTCCGGAAAGTGAAAGTGGTAACAAGTATTTCATGGTTGTGATGGATTACTTCAATAATTGGCCAGAAGTCTTTGCCATTACAAATCAAGAAGCTTCAATAGTTGGAGAGAAACTAGTTCATGAAGTCTTCTGTCGTTTTGGAGCACCTTTAGAGATTCTCAGCGATCAAGAAAGAAATCTTGAGTCTCAAATATTCCAGGAAAATTGCCGAGTTATGGGTACTCACAAAACAAGAAGGACTTCTTACCACCCGCAATTTGATGGAATGGTGGAACGATTCAATCAGACATTGGAGAGGTACCCAGCCAAAGTTGTAGACAATCGGCAACGAAATTGGGACAAGCACATACAACCGTTTTGTTGTCATATCGAAGCACTTTGCTCGAAAGTACATCAGTGACACCAGCTTTTGCAAACTTTGGGAGAGAATTACGGCTACCAGCAGACCTAATCACCGGGATATTACCTGATGCCCCACGCAGTATAACCGATTATGCAAATTACTTGCGGAACAAAATGAATGACATATATGAGCACGTCAGACAATCGCGCCAACAAATGTCCGAAAAGATGAAAACACGGTATGTGATTGCACAATCCAGTCCGCAACAAAGGTAAATCACCTAAGCTTCAAACTGAATGGGACGGCCCGTACCGGATTGTGACCAGGATCAACGACGTAACCTGCCGGATACAGAAAGGCGCAAGAGGTACTCCTAAGATCGTCCATGTCGATTTACTGGCGCGATACTATGGGGTCGATATTGCTCGGGACGAGCATGTCTTAAGAGGAGGCGGTGTTGCGCACTATAATTTGTGCATGGTATGTGGCGGATGATTATTAGTGCCATCTGGTATCAAACAGCAGAAATAGAAGCGTTAAGATCTTTCTAGAACTCCCTCACTAGCGCCGTCTAGTATCGAATGGAAGAACTAATCTTTCTAGAAAGCTCCACACTCACACTACCAGTCAGGGGCCGGTATTTGCTGGAATATTCTGGATGTTTCAGTGGAAAAGGCCTATAAAGCCGCTATGGGCCGGGACCGGGGTAGTATTAATTTGGCGACACAAGCGAAGACTTCGGAGCGAAATAAAGTGAACTAAAGTGTTAAGTGTGATTAATTTCTGGTGTGTTTTAGTATTAATTGGTGTTCAGTAATTAAAGTGTCAATTTTAGTAATTCAATCGGCAGTTTTTATTGTTAGGAACCTTAAGCTCGTAACAATATAACAAACACATCAATTAAAAATAAATTTTAAATGTGCATTATGACCAATTACAAAAAGAAATATTTATTTAAAAATAAAGCGGACTTCTTAAAACTTTGAGGAATGTTGAAATGCCGACTCTGAGTAAATCTCAATATATACATGATATGATAATAAATTCACGACTAAAGAAACAGGTTTTGTAAAAAAACTTAAATTATAGACTTGCCTAACTTCAATATGTCACGCATGAATCATATATATATATATATATATATATATATATATATATATATATATATATATATATATATATATATATATATATATATATATATATAGACTAGCGTCAAAGTGAAAGACATCTAGTTCCTAGTAATTGCCAATTGTGGCGATTACGGCAAAGCCTTCGTGTATAAACAAGAACATTTTATAAAATATCTCTTTTCTTACTGCTACTACAACCGTGTAGTGGTGAAATCTAGTGGCGGTGTAAAAATATCTACTATCCCATATTGTCTCGAAGGTCTCATAAGAAGCGACAGAGGAAAACTGAAACGTGAGATAAGTAAAAGCCCGTTAACAGCTCTCAATAAAATAATAATAATAATGGCGTAGGGAATTGACGACCCCATCGCCCGCTGACGTAACAATTAAGTGACAAAACTACTACGTCAACGCAGTCAGTCAGCGCCTTGCGAGAGGTGTGAGCGCCATGCCTCGGCAGAATTTAGGGTGCAAAGGCACGTTTATGCTTATGGTCCCACACGATACGGTGCCGGGCCTGTGCGTCTCCCGTTAATGGATGCCCAAATCATGGATGATGACTAAAAAGATAGTGTGCAAAGGGCCGCTGCCTGGAGGTCGTCATGGTGCGTCTGGAGCTGGCGCTGGACGTGACAGGATGCGGGCTGCCAGCCGAGCGCGGGGTGCTGCAAGATCATCTAGCAGCCCCCGCATCCATCATCCCCACCAGAAGGCTTGGTGTCGGCTGGGTCTTCTCGGACTCAGCAATCGGCACCCGCCGCTGGTGGAGTGGTGCGGGCGTACTTTAGGGCAAAGGGAAGAAACTGGATGTTTGGCTTATTGGGCTCGGACGCATCGCTTGTTTGCAGAGCTGAAGCCATCACTGAGCAAATATCCGTCGAAATATCCGTCACTGAGCAAAACCTGGCAGACCGTGTTCGGTACATTCTGCGCTCCAACATATTTGGTGACGCCGAACTGCCCTGACCTGAGGCTGCTCACGTCGTAGTCGTTCGAGTTCGGCGTTCCCTCATCGAATGGAAACGCTACAGCTGGGAATATGGCGCCACTAGTTGCGCAGCAAACTGCGTTAATGGGAATGTTGCTGTCAATATTCCATTTCTGGTTGATGCAGATGATGATGGAATAGTCTCCCATGAACTAGAGAAAATGAGGAACATATTGGATGAGTCGATGCTGGAAACGCGCAGCATTCCTCTCGAAAATCGACCGCGACTTCCCCGCATAGCCCTTAGCAAGCGCAATCGGACTGTTGTGCGGGCTCTTAACCCAATGCTGGTGACCTATTTGGAAGCCAGCCGGGACCTTTGCGAGACGGACTAAATTCTTTTCGGCGCCGCACTGGCTGTATGCCGTATTATTGGCGCTAAACTTCCCATGGCAAGACGTGCTACTCGGCATAGTAGCGCCATCCCAGCCTGGAGAAAAAGAATCGAGTACCGTATCGCAAAGGCAAGGGCCCATATCGGCAGACTGACAAGTTTCAGGTCGGGTAATAATAGACCGAGAGTTGTGCGCACCATTATAATGGCGTTTGCTGGAACAAATATTAGTTTGTCCCAGCCGGATATCACGCAGAAACTAACGGAGCGCATAGATGATCTGAAGCAAAAACTCGCTGCTTGGAAGAAGAGGATTCGATGATTTAGCGATAGGTCAAGGCTTTTCAACCAGAATCGTCTCTTTCAGAGCAATCAGAAGAGGCTCTATACATCATTGGAGCGACCAGAGGTATGTGGAGCGGGCCCAGGAACGGATCAGGCTGACACTGTCGCATTTTGGCGTGGCCTGTGGTCAGAGCCCGTTAACCACAGCGTGGGCACTTGGATGGAAGTTGTGGCGAGAAAGAGTGCGAGTGTTAGGCCTACGGACCCCGTCACCATAACGCCGGAAGACGTGGCTGAGACGGTCCGTAGGGCTCCGAACTGGAAAAGTCCGGGGCCCGACGGGCTGCATCATTACTGGCTGAAGGGGTTAGTAGTGTGTCACGCTGTGCTCGCCCGACAGTTTCAAGAGGCTCTCGATCAGAAGTCGCTCCCGAGTCTCTTCACCACTGGGATTACACACTTGGTTCCCAAAGATCAGGATACCACAGATCCGAGCAAATACCGCCCCATAACGTGTCTAACCACCATATATAAGACACTGACATCCATTTTGAGCGTGGGAATCACTCGTCACCTGGAGCTAAATCAGGTGATGTCACGCGCTCAAAATGGATGTCGGGGCGATGGTCGTGGAACCAAGGAACCATGGACGCGGTCATTGGCAAAGTGGTGAAAGGCAACCGTCGGAACCTGGACTGGAACCCTTCTCCGCCGCCTGGATAGATTACAGGAAGGCATTAGACTCGGTGCCCCATACATGACTAAAGAGGGTCCTCGAGCTGTACAAGATTGACTGTACAGTAAGAGACTTCCTCGTGCAGTGTATGGGGTAGTGGAGTACGATCCTTTGTTATCTGGGCGAGTGGATGATGGATGCGGAGAACCACATAAGGATAAGTCCGGAAGAATCGCAGGCGTGTTCACAGCGGCCAAGGGTGGGAAAGTGCTATGAGATATTTTAGTATAAAATAATTTTGTATTCAATATATATTATAAATACATAATTCGTATTCAAGGTTATTTTATCACTGGTTCGGTAAAAAACCTCTATCCTTGGAACAACCAACTCAGCGAGACTTTTTACCGTAATAAGTTTATGCATATTTTATACGTGGTTGAGACATGCTGGAGTTATAACAGTAGTATAGTTGTAGCACGAATAGGTCGACTCAACCACCGAAGGACCACGCTCTCACAGAAAACCAGTGTAAAATAGTAGCTTAATGCAGCTGTGTTTTGTATGGTGAGTGTAGAGAAACTGAGACCCCTTTTACTGGAAACGAGGCGTTCCATCTAAGTCCTCACGGATGACAACGCATTTGCATTTTGATTCGTCATCGAGGATAGACGTAGATGTCATATGGGCTACAGCAACCTGCATCAGGTGGACTGTGTGTTCATTTGTTAAGTTATAGTAATTTGTACAAACCCATATTCCGTAGTTAATTCTAACGTCACCAACGCAACAAAATGGGGCGATAGATTCCGTGCTTTTTCATCTTTGATTGAGCCTTATATAACACAAAATATTTTATTGGATATGTTGTTTTGAAACCGTAAACTGAAAGTTAATTAGACTGACGGGCCTTTGTTTATTAAGGTGTTATCAAGAGCGAAAATGTTTAATGTAATTTTGTCATGCTTGAACAAGAGAAATATTTTAGCATAAGTAAAAATTCGGGTGACAAAATATTGTTTTGCGCTCGCTTGTTTATCAAACATTAAAACTAGTTGGTTGGAAAGGTACTTGGAAACTTTTCAATCTCTGCCATCTACTATAGGTCATTGTACCACATGGACACTGATGACACCATCGGTATTTATGTGGCCGAAGCTATCTCTTATTTACATGGCTGCCACATGCGTCATAATTGTCAACAGATGCTCCTTGCGGGAAATGGCCTGCTCGAGTTTGTAATACATTTATTACATTTAATGTTTCTGGTCATTCGAATTAGTTATAACGCTGGGTCTATTCCTTTTTATTTATAATTAGCGATATTTTAACCTTTGAAAAATGATGTCAAAAAAGGAGATTTTCTTTCTTCGGTTCTTCTTCGGACATAAAAAGTGATTAAATTGTAACTAGTAGATAAAACATATGTTGGCACAGGCACAGGCCTTTGACAAACTTTCTTACGTCGAAAACTAAGGAGTTTTCGTTTTATTTCATTTCACTACATTAGTATTTAAAATATATTTTGTAAAAAAATACGTACCTTGTTTAACTAAAGTCTGCTATCTAAAGTGTTATTTAGAATATAAAGAATTGTTTGATTTAAGACTTAAGTTTCGTAAAACATTTAACATTTGAACTTTTCATTTTAATAAGTACCTTGATGTTTTCACATATTCTTTTCCATAAGTTCTTCAATTTATTATTTAACAATAAAGTATAAAACTTTGTAGTTATAAATTAAAAATTATAAAGCGCCACCATGGAGGAAGGAATGAAAGAATTTCTGAAGGACTTTAAGTACCGGTGTTCCACCCGCTTTCAAAAGCTCCGCTGTAATTCCTTCCTCACCTGGGCCCTTGCCATTTTAAAGGAGCTGAAGAGTCATTCTAATCTCGTTCAGACTGACGTAGACGCAAATCATCGGAATAGTGTTGGATAAGACTTGTTCTTGGATCGTTACTCTACTTGCATGTCGTCCCAACGATGATGTGTACAGCTGCCCATATAGAACCTTTCAATCTCACTCAAAATTTCGGGTATCCCGGCAACGATGCTGCCACGCTCAGTCTTCAGCTTTGACAGTTGGCTCTTTCTGGCAGACAGATCTCTGGGAAAGACTAGATTTGATATACATAAATTTATAAGTAACTCCTATCACTTATTTTACACCGATGACAAAAATTGAAGAATGCTAATGAATTCAAAAAGATATTTCCTCTTTATATAACATTTACGTTACATACATGTAAGTTTATCCGAATTTCAATGTGTATCTTTCACCAGAAAATTGAATCCAATAGTGTTTTCCTGTAATTTTAATGGAATTTTAATTCAGAGGGCACAGTTGTTTGGAATTAAGACGTACTTTTTGATGCCGGCATGACCATGCGAGATTATATCAATAGTAATTGTAGTAAATCATTTCGTAATCTTGGATTTGTCGTGCGAACATGTCTTCCGTTTACGGAACTACTAAGTAAAATAAAATAGTTTATTTTTCGTATGTAAGATTTACTCTTGAGTATGCGTACCAGGTTTGGTCACCATTTACTAAAAATAATTTTAACAATATTGAAAGAATTGAAGGTAAATGGAAAAGGCAGATTTAGTATCGCATATTTTTTGTGCCGTGTGTTGGTGGTTAAGAATGTTCACTACCCAATATCTTCCCAGGGTGTTGTAAAAGGCGACAGAGGGAAACAGGCAGGAGATGGGCAGCAGCATCTTCCTGATAGCAGCAACTGTAAAAAAACTACGGTTGCATACCCACTCGCTGGGGGTGTCAACTATAGCAATATACCCCCCCATGATAGTTATAAAGAAATGGCCCCCAGTTCCCAGAGGCCCCGCTATTTCTGGCTAAGGTGGCGACAATGGTAAAAGCGGGATAGGGGGTGCTAAGAATCTCTAGTGGAGGTTTGGTTGCCACCTACGATGATTCAACTTGGAAACATATAACTCACGCACCCTGAGGACTGACGAGAAGATCCTGGAGCTGGAAGAAGAGATAGACAAGTTGTGCTGGAATATTATAGAATTATCCGAGGTCCGAAGAGAGGGGAGGACACGGTGATTCTCGAACATGGCAACTTTCATTTTAGTAAAACAATAAATAAATCAATTACGTCTCAACTAAAAGAAAATTCTTTTCAAAATTTGAATTACCCGATTAACACTCATTCCTCTCGAGCTTATTCTAAATTTGATTTAAAAAAAAGTAGTAGAATCAAAAGTAATGAACGGGGACTTCAAAAATGCATCCCGTATTTTATTATCAGATGACATCTTCGCTCCTAGTAATGTCGAAACTCTTGAAGGCCTTCATCAGAAACATCCTTCGGTCAATCCTTCCCAGAATTTACCGCTGCCTCCCAATACTTCTATGCAACCATTACAAGTTTCTGAAAAAGACACTTTAGACGCAATATTGTCAATTTCGAATGGCTCTGCCGGCGGCATTAACGGGATTACGCCTCAGCATCTCAAAGACCTTGTAAGCGTATCTGCCGGTGACGCCGGTAGGGTACTTCTTAATGACATAACAAAATTATGTAATTTTATGCTTTCTGGTAATGTACTTATATGGGGCAAGACTGAGTGCCCTAAAAAAAAGGATAACGGTATCCGTCCTATTGCTGTTGGTTCTACATTTCGACGCTTAACTTCAAAATTAGCTTGCAGGCACATTATCTCAAACCTTAAGACAAAATTTCAACCTTCTCGACTAGGGTTTGGCACTAAAGGTGGCTGTGAGGCGGTGGTACATTCGGTGCGTACTTTCTTAACTAATTCCAATGCAGATGTTCTTCTGAAGGTTGATCTTAGAAATACTTTTAACTCTATTGATCGGA